TTATGTTAAGTTGTGCCTGCATTATAAGGACATTTCCTGCCTTTTAGACTTGCAATCCGATCTAGATAATTTTCAAAACTGGTGCCGAGATAATTTACTAAATTAAAACGGTTCCAAGTGTCAGCTGATGACTTTTTATGGGGTCAATTCTTTATACGCGACTTAAACAATAAGAGGCAGCTCTTTGGATAGAATAACTCTTGTAAACGATCTTGGCGTTCTCTTGGACCCTAAATTAAAATTTTCTAATCACATTTCGTCTATGGTTAATAGAGCCAGAGGAGTGCTTGGATTTATTAAGAGGTGGTCAAAAGAATTCGATGATCCTTATGTCACTAAAACTTTATTTATTTCGCTAGTCCGTTTGATTCTAGAGTATGGGTCTCCCGTCTGGAGTCCATGGAATACATATTGGTCGTATTGAATTCTTCTTTTTGCTTTACGGCGCCTAAACTGGGATGCAAATCTTAACTTACCTGCTTATTCTAGTAGACTTCTGTTGATTAATTTTCCCTCCCTAGGTAACCGTAGAAGGATGCTTGGTACTATCTTTATTTATAACCTTATACATGGTGATATTGACTGCCCTTTCTGTGCCAAGTAGATTAACTAAAAATTATATTTCCCTAATATTAAATCATTTTAGATCTAACTATGCCTTGCATTAGCCTCTCAGAGTATTATGTTCTTTTTCCGATAATCTCAAATCTTGACTCTCTGCCGCTCCTAAAACGATTAATACTAGCTTCATTGGCACTAAATTAATCTTACTGTTACTTTTTTTATATTTTCTTATCTCGCGTCTATCTTTTTGCGAATCGTGCCGTATGATACACGGCTAAGCCCCTCGGTCGGTTGGGTAACTGTGCTTTTTATCCCCACTAGGTCGAGAATAAGCATGAATGGTACAAAAAATTTCGTGCAAAAAAAATTATAGTAAAAATCGTAAAAAACAAAATAAGGAAAAACTTGCAAAATCCAAGCCACAGCTGGCAAGCATATTCAAAAAAAATGACTTAGACTCATTATTAATTTCAACTTTAAATAATGTTCATTATCACTTACTTTTTTTGCTCTTGATCATTAGTGTATCCATATGGGCAATTAATGGTAGTACATTTATAGCTTCCTCGGGTGTTTGTGCAAATGTCATTCTAAAAATAACGAAAATTAAATATGAAAGGAAGTTTACCATGGTAAGTTTATACACTCAGCGTCATATCTCTGCGTACAGGGCAAATAATTTTTAATTTGTCACTTTGATAGGAAAAATCTTGGGCTAGACGTGATATAAAAAAATTATGATTTTTGTTACGGATAGTCCCAGCAATTACCTTCACATTCTATATTTTAAAAAATGTGTATCTTCTTTGGTACCCTTATAATTTGTATTTCCCCAAAACCTTATAAAATAACATGCTTTCAAAAGTTTGCGTACAGCTGGAGATTGTTGCATTTATTGGCAAGTTTGTGCACGATAAGTATAAAGTATATATATTCTTGTTCAGGATCACTAGCCGAGTCGATCTAGCCATGTCCGTCTGTCCGTCTGTCTGTCCGTATGAACGCTGAGATCTCGGAAACTATAAAAGCTAGAAGATTGGCATCTTGCATGTAGATTTTAGGAGTTCCTACGCAGCGCAAGAATGGTGCCACGCCCTCTCTGACGCCCACAAGCCACAAGCTGTGGCCACAGTTTTGATGCTATTATGAAAATTTTAATTGATATGTATTTGTTTCGTCAATACCTATCGATTGGCCTAATAAAATTTTACCACGCCCACTATAACGCCCAAAAACCCATTAAACGCTTAAGCCTGGCTAGCGCCTACATTTCCGCCTTTCATGGCCCGTGGTACCAATGTCTTGGGGTAGATGGCGCAATACAATAGCGCCATCTAACGGATAATACAAGAAGGCATATTTATATTAAGTTGTTCAGCTGAGTAACGGGTATCTAATAGTCGAGGCACTCGACTATTTCGTTCTCTCTTGTTTTTTTTTGGATAGCCTCAACATTGCGGTTTATGTATGAAACACCATTTCGTTCATATGGCTGCCTCGTCTGGCTTCACAGTAGCCCATTCGGTCGACCCAATTTTTAAACACATTTTCGATGGTATGGCCCTGATGGCGACTTCATCTCGTGCTTTAGGTCGACAATCGTCTCTGGGTGGTTGCCGTATCACTTATCCTTGACGGTATTCCACGAAAAATAGTCCAACGGGGTCAAATCGAAGCTGCGTTGGCTGTGTGACACCTAGCTCCGTCCTGCTGGAACCTTATGTCGTCTATGTCTTCCTCTTCCATTCGGGGAAAGAAAAAGTCTTCCAACATGCCGCGATAGAGGACACCATTAACAATTTTTCTGTAAAAAATGGTCATCTTCAACCAAGCGCTCCTGAGCCCATTCCGCGAACCGAAAACGCAATAGATGGTCATGCGGCTTAAGCTGCTGAACCAACTGAATCTTATATGGCCTTAGACGGAGGTCTTTGGTTAAAATCCGTTGCAGGAAGTGTACTCTTGAGCACGGTGCCGATTTGACGTCGACGGATTGTCATTGACACTTTCGGCCACCGCAGTGATATTTTCGACCGACTGAACTGGACGAGCACGTAAATATGTTGTTTTATCCATCAAAGATCCAGTCTCACGCACACGCTTCACAAAACTATCCACAAACTGCCTGGAAGGCGCTTTACATTTTCTGAATTTTGACCGCAATTTTCTTGCAGTTTCGGTTGAAGACTCTCCACTTTGGAAGAAAGTTTTCAATATTTCCCAATTTTCTTCGAGCGTAAACTTAACCATTTCGTAAACCGCAAACCTTCTACTAAATATCTGGCACATTGACAATAACATTCGAAATGTCAAAGTAAAAATTATCGATAGTTCAAAAAGCAAACGCTAGATGGGCCACCCTGTTCTATCCGTCAATGTCCAATAAGCCTCCATGGTTTAATAAGGAGTTGTCGCACCTAAAATATGTTAAGTCCAGACTTTTTAATAAATTTAAAATGTGCGGCTCACAATCTGGCTTCTCTCGATACCTACGGGCTCGGTCAAATTTTATCGTGCTTAACGCCCGGTGTTATAAAAGCTATCTGACTCGTTGTAGGGTCCAATTTTCACAAAATCCAAAACAGTTTTATAATTTTGTTAACACTAAGCGTAAATCTGCCTGTTACTCTGCATCGCTATAATTTGAAAACTCTACGGCAAATACTGATCAGGCAATTGCCGATCTGGCCCACTTCTTTTTACATTATTTATTAACAATCTCCCTCTAGTCTTAACAAACACGCGGGTCCTCATGTACGCAGATGACGTTAAGTTATGTCCGCAATATAACGAAATTTCCAGCAGTTCTGACTTACAATCATACCTAAATGCTTTTCAAACATGGTGTTCTGAAAATCTTCTAATTAATCTACCATCCTTATTAAACCGTAGAACGATGCTTGGCACTACTTTTATTCATAAACTTATTCACGGAGATGTTGAGAGTCCGGAGTTACTGGGTCGCCTAAACTTCTCTGTGCCTAATAGAATTACCAGAAACTTTATTCATTGTAGATCAAACTATGATATATGAGCCTTTTAGAGTACTATGTAGTGACTATAATAGACTATACCATACCATTTCTACTAACTCTTTGCTAAACTTAAAAGCATTAATTTTATCTCATTTAGCACATAATTAGTTTTAGTATCGTGTTTCGTATGCATTCTAATTTAGTCTGCGCGTTTCCTTTTTCACATCTCGCGATCTCGTTTTTTACGCCCATTTGGGAATAGGGCTCCGCGCGTAACAAGCACCTCTTGTTGTCGCAAGGGCCACTCGTCTGCGCTGACCATAGTGCATCAACGTCCGATAAAAAAAATATATGTTTATAAAGGTAACTACGTTCAATTTTTTTTTTTTAATTTTTTGGATTTTTGGTAACACTTTGAAGTCAAAAACGTGATTTAATCCTAAAAATTCGATGTATTAGTTATTATAAAATGAAAAATAATCAGTAAAAACAAAACACTCGACGTCAGTACCTGAGAATTTAAGTACAGAAATAGTGTACAAAATTTCAAAACGATTCGTCCAGTAGATTTTGCAGGATCGTGTTCGTCGACTTTGAAATGGAAACTTTTCAGGAGACTGTTTTAAAGTTTTAGACACCTAAAAATCGAATACAAAACGAGCTAACTCACCTACGTTCAACTGCCCAAAACTACGGAAGTTTTACTCGGATCAATCTAAAATTGTAACGCAATATTCTTAAAATGTTGTGCGTTCAGAAAAAAAAATTTAAAAAAAGCACCAAAATTAAAATAGCCCCTCTTTAAATTGAAATAACGAAAGTTATTTACACGAACAGCGGAAAATAACTAATGCAAGGAAATGCTTTAATTCAAAATACCTTAGACTTTCCTATATTAAACTAAAGATATACAGCTGGCCCTTCCATACTTAATACATTCACTCAAAAGCAGTTTATATATGTATTGTTGATCTGGAAAACTAATTTTTATTATTTATTTTATTTTTTTTTATTATACCTCCCTCGAAATGTGTGTGCACAATGAATAAGAATAATTTTATAAAGTAAAATGTTATAAACAAATTATAAAAACTATTATAAAGAAGATATTAGAAAAGAAGTATTCAAAAAATATTTTGATTTCATTACATGCTTAATTCCAGACAAAAGTTTTTTAAGTGGAAATTGGAAAAGGTCAGATATTTTGTTGTATGTATACCCTTGCAGAGATTATTATAATTATAAATAAAATAAATCAAAATATATACAAATATACTGCTAAAGTTAGTTACATTCTCAGTTTTAGTTTTAAATGGGTGCTACTTCCTATTTGGTATCCTCGAGAACGGGTATTTGCATTTCATTTATATATTGTACTTTAAGTGAAAGAAACGAATTGCGTGTCTTGGTTTGATGATTTATTATTTTGAATAACTATTTTTTTGTATATCTGCAAGGGTATATAAACTTTGGTTTGCGAAATCTACTATAATGTCTTTCCAAATGTATAACATACGCAATTTATTAAAAAAATCTACATATATGACAAAAACTAAGATAAAAATTGTTCTTTTTGTTGTTCATCTGCATTCATTTTTCTAAACTGCCAGCTTCCAAGACCGTCGAACTCCAAAATATGTGTGTGATATTTCCTAAATAGGTACAATTTTAATTAAGTGTAGGGGAGATGTGACATTTTAAAATATTACCAAAGCGTAGGCCTGTGTGTTATCGTCAGAAGGGTAATTCCCATACCCTTAGCAATTTCATAAATCGAGCTTTCAACATCAATAGAAACTGCACTGGTACATTCATCTAGAAGGGCATATCGTGGCCTTAACGAAAAAAAATAAGTAGGAATAGTTTATAAAATTAATATACATTTTTTGTATCCTTATCTAATTAGTCTTTAAAGTTAACGTTCGTAAACTACAATGTTCTTTAAATTTTTTCGGTAATCGCTCTAATGTAATCGAAAGTTAAGTTGCGTTTTATTTACATTATTTAAGCTTTTAAATTTTTCAAATAAAATTAAAAAATAATTTTTAACTTTTTGTCTAAAAATACAGTTTTTAAAATTAGTTTTTAAGCTTGACGTATGAATACTAAAAATGTAGAAAATTAATTTGTTCATACTTATGGTAAAACAATCGAGCTATCGCCATACGTTGCTTTTCACCTCCAGATAATATATCCTTCCAATCGCGAACAACGTCAAAACTATCACTGAAAGTAATAATGTATGTTGGATTACTTACCACCCTACTTACATATATTTATAAATTATTTTTTACCGTTGGGCGATGTGTTCGAGACTGACCAGTTTTAAAATGCTTCTTAGCTCGTTTTCAGTTATTTGTTTGCGTTTCATATCATCACGTGTATCGGGGTATATTATTTGGTCGCATAGGCTTCCGATTGACATATATGGACGTTGTGGAATGTAAAACATACATGGAACATCTTTTACAGGCCGTGGAATTTGCAATTCTCCAGCGTATATGGGCCAAAGTCCACTTAGTATTCTAAACAAGCTAGATTTCCCGCATCCATTCGGACCAGTTATTAACAAATGCACACCTGGTTCGATACATAACGTAAGCTTCGGTACAACTATATCACAGTTGGGTGTCACTACTGGAACTGCACGTAGGTTTATTGACATATTTTCCGGATCATCTGAATAAATTATGCGGCCTTTTGCTATTGGTTTGCCATTACGAAACTCAATGATACCATTTGACTGATCGGTTTCCATCACACTGGTCTTGCAATATACTCCCTGAGCGGTTTCCTCAAACACATCCATCATGCCAGCCACACGATAAGTATAACCAGCGAGCGACACAATTTCCTTGTAAGAAGACATTAACCGCTCAATCGCGTCTGCTGCAGAAATTAGCAAATTTCTAGCTGTAGTTAAATATTGCGTTCGTTCGCTAACTCTAGACTCTGTTATGGCTGTGCCAGAAATTGTTTCAGAGCTTACGTCTTTGCCTGTCAAAATCGGTAGGGATACCATGATCATTCCAGTCCCGGACCAAACATATTTCATAAAAAATTGTTCTAGCATTATAAACCAAAGTTTTTGGTTGAAAATGGCAGTCATTTGATTTACTAAGCGATTGTATGCTTGCCGTAGCTGCTGCATCTCCACCTATATATTATAAAAGAATAAACTGATTAACATATTTGTAAAATACATACAAGAAGAACACAGCAAAGGCTTTCTCTAAGAGAAACAAACATCAAATTATTTTAAATATGTTATAAATAACTTAAATTGCAAAGTCTGAATGTTTTTGAATATATTGCCAATGTACCAGCACTGGTTTGCAACAATAGAAGCATCTCTACAAAACTTCAATGCCAAAGCTTAATAAAAAGTTAACTACTAATATATAAACAATAACTTATTTTAGTTTGTGCAATTTATGAGGCAGCTATTGCAAGCTAGTTTTGGCAAGCCAAAGTGTTAATATCCTTGCAGAGTATTCAAAAATATAAACTATATAAACTAAAATATAAAACATAAAACCGGAACTCGAGATTAAAAATAAAATTGACATAAAAACGTACAAAAAAATATTTAATTTTTTAATTAGAGACTGGAAAAAACCCTGAAAACCTCAGTAGTTTTTTCTTTAAGGACCGATGCTTTTGTTGTTTTTATACCCTTGCAGAGGGTATTATAATTTTGGTCAAAAGTGGGCAACGCAGTGAAGGAGACATCTCCGACCCTATAAAGTATATATATTCTTGATCAGGATCACCTCCTGAGTTGATATAGCCATGTCCGTCTGTCCGTTTGTCTGTTTCTACGCAAACTAGTCTCTCAGTTTTAAAGATATCGAACTGAAACTTTGCCCACACCTTCTTTCCTTTGCACGCAGTATATATGTCGGAACGGCCTGGATCGGGCGACTATATCCTATAGCTGCCATATAACTGATTGATCGGAAATGCCATAACTTTGATGTTTGTAAAGTTAGGAAGCTGGGATTTTTTATTGGTTTTATATTTGGTTAGTCAATCCGACCTACCAAATTTCATAAGGATCGGCCGACTATATCCTACAGCTGCCATATAACTAATTTATCGGAAATGCCATAACTTTGGTGTTTGTTAAGTTAGGAAGTTGGGATTTTCTATGGGTTTTATTTTTGGACAATCAATCCGACCTATCAAATTTCATAAGGATCGGCCGACTATATGCTATAGCTGCCATATAACTGAACGATTGGAAATGCCATAACTTTGGTGTTTTTAAAGTTAGGAAGTTGGGATTTTTTTTGAGTATTAAGAATGCAGCATATGAATAATTTTGGAGAATATAATGTACATAATATTCTGCAAGGGTATATCAACTTCGGCTCCGCCCGAAGTTAGCTTTCCTTTCTTGTTATATACATATATAAATAAGAAATTAAAGTTTTTTTGATTATTACATTTTTCGTATACATATTTTTGTTTCTCCAACTTATTGTTACACTTTTATTTAAAAGTGTGGCTTCAATGAAACTTTAAAAATTGATCTTTTCTCTTATTTCGAAACAAAGGATATCAGATACAAATGCAAAAAGCTAATATAAATGTATATCAAATAGTCCAAAAAATAAAAACCTTTTTCTTTTCACTGGGGCAATTGTGGTTAATTTTAAAAATGCTTTTAAAACTTAAGAAAAGTTATGGTAAAAGTTTTAAAACAAATTTTGCCCCGATTATACATAAGAGCGAGTGCTACTGCAGTAGCATTAATTAAATTGAAATCTCGGACATCTATATCATATAGTTCCCATTGGAAAATCAAAAAATTATAAAAAAAATAAAATTAAAAACAAATAAAAATAAAGAAAATTGTATTTTGGTGTTTTTTCTATTTATCAAAATATTCCTTGGAGAAATAGTAATTATTTACTATATCAGAATTACGCTTTTAGTTTTGTAAAAATCGGAAAAATCATATAGCCATAAAAAGATGGCAAAATGCAGCGCAAAATCGACATAATTTCATTGTTTTTAGTAATATAGGCATACAAATCAAAGTGTAGTCGTTTTGTAGTAACTGTAAGGCTTTGTAAAAATTGGGCTTGCCGAAGTTTGCTTCCTTTCTTGTTTTACTTTATTTATTAACAACCATCCATTGTTATAAGTAACTCTCGTGTAATTATGTACGCAGATGATGTTAAATTTGTCCTGCAGTATAAGAATATTTCCAGTCATTTAGACTGACAATCCGATCTAAATAACCTTCACAGCTGCTGCCGGCATAATTTTCTAAATTTAAATGGTTCTAGGTGCAAGCGCATAATTTTGTATCGTGTCAATTGGTTATATTTAAAGGTGGTCAAAAGTAAAATAAAAATTATATTTATATAATTGTTCCGGAATGCTCAATAAATTAACAGTAGGAAGCAAAAAGCAAACGTTTTGTATTGATTCAATGCAACCAATATGAATTCCGTATAGTGGTCTCCAGATGGGAGACCCATACTCCAGAATCGGATGGACTAGCGAAATAAATAAATTATTTTTATATACATATATATAATATCCTTTTATATATATATATTATTGATGAATAGTTACAAAATAAGAAGTATGTGCAACTTTTTGCAATAAGTACCAATAATAGAACATTGTAAAATTTTGGTAAAACTTCGAATTTTTCAAAACCGTTCAAATCTACTTTTAACGACGTTGTTATGGACCCATAAAAAGTAAAATAATTTCCAAAGCAAAAAGTCTGTCTAAAATCGATCAAAGCGATGACGAATTTTATTTCGACATTGGTTCTTCATTAAATTTGTTAATAATAATAAATATTATAAACTTTTTATCGTATCTTTCTCGTAATTGACTTCTTCACTACGTTGCAAACTTTTGACTGAAATTATAATACCCTCTGCAAGGGTATAAAAACGATTTTTGTACTACTAAGTGCTGCAAAAATAAAAATTGCGATTTAAAAATGGATTTGTGATTACCGGGGATTTCTATTTCCTTTTAAGCCCAGTATGAATTATATTTTTTTCAGATCACCTTATTTTTTTGAAGGGAAGGCGGATTTAGAGTGCCGTGCCCTTATATGTCAATATTTATAACGAACAACAATAAAATTACCTTATGGCCTCCGTAAAAAGCGATTTCTTCGGCATTTGTTATTATACGGGAGTGAATGTGTCTTAGGTACCCATATCTGTTGGCCTCTTCCGATACCAACTGTCCAAACTTCGGGGATACAATTCGTAAAATGTGGGCTGTTAGGGCAATAACACCGACTGACAAAGCTGGTCCTGTGTATTGAAATAAAATAGTAAGTTATCCGTAAAACGTACTCATTTTGAAATAATTAACCCGTTAAAATGTTAGCTTTCATTTTTCTAGAGGATCTCATCAGTGCCAATCCAATTAACATCAAATCAAAGCATGGTTTAGTCAGGCTACTATACAAATGAGCTACAGAACTAGCGAACACGGAAATATCTTCGGTAAGTCTATAAAATATTGAATTGTGTTAGAAAAATAATAATTTTAAGCAGCCTCAAAACTTACCTATGATCCGCATTCTCAATACGTCCGTCCAAATTTGATACTCTATAGTAATTTTGATTCTTAAAGTAAAGACGATATGAGTGGCGCACCAGTCGTGTTCTAAATAAAAAAAAATTGAATCTTATACCGCCTAATATATTACTATTTGTTATTTACCGGAAAGCCAGAGCAAGTTTACTTTCAAGAAATCGTATCATTGAATTAACAAATGTAGCAGGGATAGCGATTCCGAACCATTTGAGCAACACAAGACCAAATTGTTTAATATCCTTTCGTACTATAAATTTAACAAGGGCCCCCTCCAACGCAGCGACATAAATACTTAGAAATGTGCGAGAAATTAGGCAAAACGTGTGTATGCTAAGCAATCCCGTTTCATAACACAAGGTATGTGGAATCATTATTTTAGCCAGCATTTTCAGTTGTTTTAAAAACTCATGGTTTAGTCCAGGCTCAACAAAATTTTTGTTGTTTTTTTTTAGCTGCTGAGCAACCAATAACTTTTCCGCCTCTGCCAGCTTTAAATCCTCTTCGGTGCTATCTGTTTTTAATGGAGTAAGCACCCCATTATAGACTTTGGTTTTTCCTTTTGGAGTCTTTTCGATCGATGTAGTGTGGGCGTTTTTTACGTAAGGGATAGTCACCTTAATGGTTAGTGCTAGTATTGCACTAGTCACGAGGGCATAGCTAAAAGCGTGTTTCGTGATTCCATTATGTTCAAATTTTTCTGCAATACGGTCAACATATTTTGATAGAACACTCATTATTGTAAATATTATAATTGTTCTGGGGCGTTTTGTTTAGATTAGAGGTCCACGAAGTAATCAATAGAAAATTAGGCTGAAAATAAAATTTAAAAAAGTATAAATACGATAAAATAATTCAATGTTTACAAACTAGTAATATTTCAGGGAAATACAAAAGCTGTATAAGGTTTGAACAACATTGTGTACAAATTTAAACGAAAAATATTAAAAACAAGAGAGGAAAGCTAACTTCGGGTGGAGCCGAAGTAGATATACCCTTTCAAAATATTCGGTAAATTATACTCTACAAAATTATTCATATGATGCATTCTTAATACTCATAAAAAATCCCAACTTCCTAACTTTAAAAACACCAAAGTTATGGCATTTCCAATCGTTCAGTTATATGGCAGGCATAAGATATAGTCGGCCGATCCTTATGAAATTTGGTAGGTCGGATTGATCCGGTCTAGAAAATCCCATCTTCCCAACTTTACAAACACCAAATTTATGGCATTTCCGATCAATCAGTTATATGGCGGCTATAGGATATAGTCGGCCGATCCCGGCCGTTCCGACTTATATACTGCGTGCAAAGGAACGAAGGGTGTGTGCAAAGTTTCAATTCGATATCTTTAAAACCGAGAGATTCGTTCGCTTAGAAACAGACAGACGGACATGCTTATATCAACTCAGGACGCGATCCTGATCAAGAATATATATACTTTATAGGGTCGGATATGTCTCCTTCACTGCGTTGCACACTTTTGACCAAAATTATAATACCCGCTGAAAGGGTATAATAAGTCTTCTTTCTATGGCAAGAAGCTTATAAGTCGGAACTGCCCCGATCGGCATTCTATTAGCTGTCATGCGAACAATTTATAATGCTATTGATTGACTATATATCGAACCATTGAAACACAATTGGAGTGCAAAATATTTGTAAGTGAAGGCTCTGTGCCGAAAAAACTTTTATTTTGATTTTTATAAATATAAGTTCCGAGTGGTTTTTCTGAATAAAAATCGAAAAACATTTATATTTCAGACTTTTTAGATAACAATCTTAAATTATTATTTTGAATACCTTTACGTAGCGTATTATAATTTCAGTCAAAAATTTTAAACGCAGTGAAGGATGTCTCCTTCCTTTCCGACCATGTAAAGTATATATATTCTTGATCAGGATCACCAGTAGAATCGATCTAGTCATGTCCGTCTGTCGGGGCCCCGATCGGATGTCTATATCCTATAGCTCCCATAGAAACAATTGGATATAACTTGCAAGAATGGCAGATATTTCGCGCAGTGTAAAAGCTATTGACATGCATTTTTCCAAATCTTATGTTTTTATGCATACCTTGATCAGGGTAAAAGCGCGTTTCGATCGGAGGTCTATATCCTATAGCTCCCATGGGAACAGTGTGGTGAAATCGCTTAAAAGTTTATACTTTTCAGGATATTTCGCGCAGTATATAAGCTATCTTTCCAAATCAAAGTTTTTTATGCATACCTTAATCAGGGAAAAAGCGGCCGTCTATATCTTATAGCTTCCATAGGAATAATTGTTAAAGGCTGTGAAAATATCCATTTTTTATACCCTTGCAGAGAGTATTATAACGTTGGTTAAAAGTGTGCAACGCAGAAAAGGAGACATCTCCGACCCTATAAAGTTTATATATTCTTGATCCGGATCGCGTCCTGAGTTTATATAAGAATGTCCGTCTGTCTGTTTCTACGCGAACTAGTCTCCAGTTTTAAAGATATCGAATGGAAACTTTGCACACAGCCTTCGTTCCTTTGCAAGCAGTATATAAGTCGGAACGGCCGGGATCGGCAGGCTATATCCTATAGCCGTCATATAACTGATTGATCGGAAATGCCTTAACTTTGGTGTTTTTAGAGTTAGGAAGATGGGACTGGCTATATCGTATAGCTGTTATATACCTGAACGGTCAGAAACGCGATAACTTTGGTGTTCCTCACACTTAACTTAAACCCTTATTTAGAATTGTTATTTAGCACTGGTACATATACGAAAATTGTCACTTAGTCATAGAATATGTCATAGAATATGGCTATCATAGCTATTATCATCAATAAATCAATAAAATTATTTCCATTTTGAATCTCTCGTCGATTTATTTTTATACCCTTGCAGAGGGTATTATAATTTTAGTCAAAAGTTTGCAACGCAGTGAAGGAGACATTTCCGACCCTATAAAGTATATATACTTATTCTTGATCAGCATCACCAGGAGAGTCGATCTAGCCATGTCCGTCTGTCCGTCCGTCCGTTTCTGCTCAAACTAGTCCCTCAGTTTGAAAGATATCTGCTTGAAACTTTCCCAAAAGTTGTCCCTCTATTGCAGGTAGTATATAAGTCGGAACGAGACAGATCGGGCGACTATATCATATAGCTCCCATAGGAACAATAGGACAAAAATATTAAAAAAATTATAACTTTGTCGTTTTTAACTTTTTTCTTGTTCTTTGGGATTTGGTAATATTTAAATATTATGGAATTACGGTTTGAAATAAATTAAAATCGGATAACAATATCATAGAGCTGCCATAGAAACGATGGCAAAAATGCAGCGCAAAGTCGACACAGCTTCATTGTTATTAGTAATAAAGGCATAGAAATCGAATCCGGCTTGCCGAAGTTTGGTTCCTTTCTTGTTTTATTTTTGCCGAAGCTAGCTCCCTTCTTCGTTTTTTTTTTTAATTTGGAAGTTTTGTGTTATTTGAAAGATTTAAATTAATTTTATTTTACAATAAATTTTCGAAATAATAAAAATTTAAATATTTAAAATTTATTTATGGAGAAAAAATATATTGTGTTTGTGTTTACTTACTACACGTTAGTCAGCTCAAACATATTTAGTAACAATTACCCAAACAGGATATTTAATATAAAATGTTGTATTTGCAACGCGTAATTTTTATTAAATGATAGGTCCGTCACCAATTTTAAGTCCGTATTCACCGCGCATTAAAATTAAACTAGTTCCAATTCTTTTGAAATCCACTTTCTCAATAGAAATACCTTTGCGTTGATAGGTGCCCAACATTTTTGATAAGAACCACTCAATGTTTGCCCTTGCGGATATCTCAAAAATAGTTTTCATTACTAAATTAACAAAAGGTTTATCGGTAAATATTCTTACTGAAACAAAATATACTTTCAAACAGGACAAGTACGTATATACATATTTGTATATATATTTGTAAACATAACAAGGCCCATAAATAAGTAATAGGTAAAGAAAAAGTCATTGTCTAAAAATCTTTTTAACGGATTAGATAAGCAATATAGTCACGAAAGTTGCACCTTGTACCTACACAAAATAATACAAAAACAAGCAAGGAAACAACCTTCGGTAAGCCGAAGTTTATATACCCTTGGTGTTATTACAAAACGAATACCTTTCTATGCCTATATTACTAAAAACAATGAAGCTATGTCGATTTTGAGCTGAATTTTTCCATCGTTTCTATGGCAGCTATGTGATATTGTTGTCCAATTTTAACAAAACTTAAAACGTAATTCTGATATAGTAAATAATTACTTTATCTTAAATGAATATTTTGATAAATAAATAAACAGAAAAATAAGAAATTTTAATTTTTTTTTTAATTTTAGGTTTTTTTATGGGAATTATATGATATTGATGTCCGATTTAAATTTAATTAAAACAGTAATTCCATAATATTTAAACATTACCAATCCCCAAAGAACAAAAAAAAATTAAAAACAACGAAGTTATACTTAAAAAAATTTTTTTTTCGATTGTTCCTATGGGAGCTAAAAGATATAGTCGCCCGATCCAGCTCGTTTCGACTTATATACTACCTGCAATAGAAAGGCAGCTTTTGGGAAAGTTTCAAGTAGATAGCTTTAAAACTGAGGGACTAGTTTGCGTATAAACGGACAAACGGACAGATGGACGGACATGGCATGGTAATGCTGATCAAGAATATACATACCTTGCTAACTTTTGAAATTATAATACCCACTGCAAGGGTATAAAAATAAATAACCCAATGTCTCTCGGAAATTATCTTCCAATAGATGTGTAACACATTATTCCATTTATTGAATTTATTTATTAAAACTTCTGAAATGGATTTAGGTTTTTACCACGTGAAGTTAATTTAAAGGAGGTTTTTCGCTCTGTGCAAAAAGAAACGACTTGGGGCATGTACCTATAGATTTATAAGCCTGCAAGCTTATTATGAATGTAATGTAATTGGAAAAACTTAAATGAGCCTTCAGTAAAAATATCAGATGAATGAATAAGAAAATATTAGAATATCGATTTTTTTTACCTGCTTACCTTATGTATGATTTGATCGATTCATTTTTAATTTTTTCCTATGAAAATACTTTTTTCTATGGCAGCAATCCGACTAGTTCCGACTATTTGCAATAGAAAGAAGGCTTTTGGAAAAGCTTTAAAAGACCTTGCATTCGTTATAAGATCGAAAATATTTCCTTTGCTGGGAACTTTTAATTATTAGCCAATAAATTTAACAAAACGTGCTTCAACGCGTGGAAATTTATGTTTACACATATTTGCTAGTATTCATAAGCTTCTTGTAATATAAACTGCACGCGATAACTTATCATATTAACGAAAGCGGGCACAGCTGTATTCGTTAAAGACACAAATTTTATAAAGACTTAAGATTAGTTAGCGGAAGTTTATAGATTATAAACGACTTAAGGACTTTGGAACTTCTTTATCTCTTTATGAACTTTAATAAATGAACGATTTCTTTACGGCAAAACCACGTTCATTTAAGGCTTACATTTGACTCGCATAACTTTTTGAACCGACTTAAAGTTTTGTGAATATTTTAATTTCTTTTTATTACTGATAAAAGTATTTGATATGGGTAATGGGTAGTAAATTAATTTTTTTACTTTCTTAAGCAAAAGTTGATTTTTTCTTTTTTTCTAATTTAATTATTTAATACAAATACAAATTAGCATATCTACTATTTTGTACTACTTCTTTCAACTTTTTTGATAACCTTTAATATTATTATAACTAATTATAATGCGTTTATATTTATTTAGAGTAATGT